AWYCYTKSCTCCTGGTGGAGCCCCACRYGYTCCTTCAGTGGCTGTGGTGGGATCTGGGCACCTCTGAGCCTCATGGTTGGATTGCTGAGCACRTGGATTGCATCTGCTGCTCTCTCCRGAGGATGCTGTGACCTGGGGGAGGTGGTGGAGGGTACCTTTGGGGTACTGGTCCCTCTGTCGTGCYTTTTCATTCTCTTTCCCTGCACGAGTTCACGGCCAGTTTGGTGAGATTTGCGCCTTCCTTGGGGTGTTTGGGCTGGTCCCAGTTCCAAAGGGTGTTGTAGCAGCACTGCACTGCCGGCTCATGGCACRGTGGCACGTTTCCCTCTGGCGATTTTCCCTCCCCCCTGCCCTTTCAGGTTTCCCCGCGGTGGCCAGCCGGCGGTGCCGTGGTTGCCGCGTGCCGGACCGGCGTGTGCCAGCCATGGGGCTTTTGTGGTGCTGCCAAGTGTCCAGAGCAGGGGAACAATTGATAGCCAGCATTCGGATCATTCAGCCTTGAGCTCTAACAAATACGTGTTTGCAATTCTTAACCAACCTTCCTGGGGCTGGATGCACGTCCCTAAAGTTCCTCGCGCCCGTGGCTTTTGTTGTAACTTGATAATTGGCATTAATTACGGCAGCCGAGTTGGAAAACTGGGGTTCCTGAGGATATCATTAGCTTCTCTCATGGCTCAGTCTTTATGGGACATCTGGTGGGTTTGTTGGAAGAGAAGAGAGATTTTAGCTTTTCCTTGAACAATGTAATGATAACATGTGACCGAGATTGTGCTGAAACTGGATCCCTCCTCTCCCCCTGCGCTGTTTCCAGTGGTGTAACTTTTAATAAGAGTGTGAGCTGGGTGATTTATTTTTCCCCAGTGCTCAGGATTGCTGAAAGAGGATAAGAGCCTTGCTGAAGTTAACCCGTACATGTCATCATGGGGAAGTACMGGGGAAAACCCACTTAGGCTCCAGCCTACCTGCCACTTCTCAGTTTGTTTATTCGCCATTTCAACTCGTTTAAGGGCTCTGCTTGAAGTGAAGGTCTGTGGAAGTGATGCACAAAGCACATGGTCCTCCCTGCCTCCTCTGGTGTACCGAGGGAACTCAGTGTGCATTTAACTTGTCTTCCAAAAATAAGTACATTTTGGATCTAGCATCAAGCCACTACTATTTATTGCTCCAGCTTTGATCATCAAAAAGGCTTTTCCTACTAAAACCACAAAATTCAATTTTGTGTAACAAAGAGAACCATTCTTCTCCTGTTGCTCCTTTACTTGATGAACTTCTAAACAAGAGGTTTTAGCATGAAGGCAAAAGATGATCTCTGTCATATGTGCAAATTTAAAGAAAAACAAACCCTGTTTTTGAAGTAGAACCTTTCATGGCTCTAATATTGCCCTTAAAAAGAGGGGAAGTCTTCAGTGAAGTAGCAGGCTCKCTGTAAGGTTCAGAGGAGCAGTCGGTGCTAACTGGCAGCACAAGCTGTGGGTGGTTGGGCAGATGTGACCTGGATCTGTGGATGATACCCCAGAGCCCTGTTCATCTCTTGTTTAAAGCATTTGGGTCTTGGAACACAGTTTGTCCAAGGATCAGTGTCCAGCACAGCACTTCCCTTGGAATGGGATGCCCTTGTTTTCTCAGTGTGGTGCTAAGGGCAGATCTGGGTTGGTGGGAGAAGGCACTTGGAGGTGTTTGAACCCAAAGGTTTTGCCCCCTGAGATCAAACAGTGTCACATCCAGGTTTGTGAGGGCACAAAGAGGGGCTGCGTCATTTCCTCGTGAGATTCCCCTCTGCCTGGGGAGCAGAGCTGAAGGAAACCCWCTGTTTGGGGAGTTCCATTTTAAACCCAAGTGGTTCCTGGGCTGAGCCCAAGTGTCCCCTGGGAGCCGGCAGAGCCTCGGCCAGCGCTGGCGTCCCTGCAGCTCCCAGCCAGAGCTGGGGAAATACCAGGGAAAGGGCAAAATCCAGCAAGGCAGGAACAAAGGCTCGGCCTCGTGACTCATAATTGGTGGAACATTTGTAGTAATTTTTTTTCCCCTTCCCCTCAGCCTTGGCTCCTCCAGCACATGCCAAGAAGCTGCTGTACCCGTTAGACTTGCCAGGCGTGTGCAGGGCTGAGCCGTGCTGCGAGAGCTGCGGCRGGATGGGATGGGATGGGATGCTGGGGACATGCTGGAGCAGCTTTGGGATTGCCTGCCTTCCCCTGAATCCCACAGGGCTCTCCCTCATCATCTATGGGAAGGATCCTTTCTTAAAACCCATGGAAAAGCCCCATTCCTGTTGAAAAAGCCCCATGACGAGTGGTGACCAAAGTTCTTGTTAGTGGTGGCTTTAAATTCTGGAGKTCCTGAGGACTGTTCTGGAGGGAGGACAGGTGGGAGAGCAAAAGGTGACCTTGCACCTGCTGACCTGGCCATCCCCAGGGAAGGTGCTGGTTTATTTTTTTCCAAAAATAGCTTTATTTTTTTTTTTAAACTTTGAAATCACTTCCTAGTGTGCTACAACTGTCCACAAGAGTTTCAGCTCCAGTGAACCCATTTGTAGGTGAAAACGTGCATCCTAAAGAAGCAATGTTGAATTGGTGGTTTGGTGGAGGAGGGATGAATTTCTGTCCGTGCTTCAAAGCAGCAGGAAGGTTATTTCCACCTGAGAGTATTTCTGGGTTTTTTAAGGCCTGGGAAGTTTTTGCAGGGCTGGGGTGGGGCTGGAGGTGTTGGATTTGGGGAGCAGGGTCCCTGTACCTCCAAAGGCAGGAAGGAGGCAGCAGCGCCCATCCCAGCTGGTGACTCAGCCCTGCTGAGGCGATGCCACGGCTCCAGGAAAGAGCCAGAGGGGTTTTTCTGCTTCCAGCAATGTTTAGGATGAACTTAAGGAAGCATATTTTAAAACCCACTGAATGGAGAAAGTGAACGTCTCCCTTCCTCTCCCCCCCACAGAAATAACAGGCTGCAGGATTTATGCTAACAAGGAAATTTATGAAGATCCTGTGTGTTAGGAGTTGGAAAAAAAAAAGCCCATTAAATCTGTCAGGCGGATGTGTGTGGCAACTGGGCAAACATTGCCCTTTCCGGGCTGAGGGAGAGATTGTGGAATTACCTGTTAATCGAAAAAAAAGGGTATTTTTCTCATTAATAGGGCAGCAGTTTCTTCGGGGGGGAAATGTCGGGTTTTGAGGATGGGCTCTGGCTTKGCTGTGTCTCAGTGGGGGCTGGGARCTGGGTCTGACCCAGCACCACTGTGGAGTCTTCTCATCCCTTCTTCCCCACTCCTGCAGAAACAAATCCCTTTAAAAAAGGCACAACATCCCTGTGCATCCAGTTTAATCACAGACAGATGTTTGTTTGGGCCAGTAATGGTTTTGGTTAGGTTTTTTTTTCCTATTTAACTGTAGGTTTGCTGGCTTGTCTCCCCCTGTGCAGTCTAGAACAATCAGGGTTTGGCTAAAACCTCTCCTGGTCRGAGGAACGAGCCTGTTGCCAAGAGCTACTTCTTTGATGCAAAAAAATACATCCTGGAGGTGCTTTGTCAGATGTTTTTATATTAAACAGTTTTCCTCCATCATTTTGGTTTGCCAACGGGAAATAAAGTGCATCTATTTTCCAGTGTGCTTCAGAGAGGAATTCCGTGCTCGGTGGGGAGGTTTTTCCCACGTGGCTGTGGATGGCCATGGATGTTGGAATCCCCCTGGGAGAGSTGGGAGGGTTGGGAGGGTTCAGAGSCATAACCTGCCCTCCCTGRGGGTTTGCTCATGGGCAGCTTCTGGCCCTGCCTGGGGCTGACATCAAAGGCAGCTTCTCCAACCAAAGGGTGAATCATGGAATTACTCCCTGTAAGGGAAGATGGGGAGGCTCTGGAAGTTGATCCCTGGGCTTTCAGAGGGGTGTGCTCCTTTATTCCACAGCAGATGTCTTGCTGGAGTGGTGATAAACCCACTGGAGCCAGGGGATTTGGGGAAAGGAGTGGTTTTTTCCCAGTATTTTTGTGCTCACCACAGTGGCAGCTCCTGGAGTTCAGACATTCCTCTCTTTGGAGCAGAAGAAGAAGGGAAGGGATTGTTGGTTCTGTAGGGGGCTCCTCATTGTGTCCAAAGCCTGTTGGTAGCCCTGCTTCATCCTTAAGCAGAGTAACCCAGCAGAGTGTTCCACCTGGGGGAATAA